TTATCAGGAAAAATAATAAGTTCAAACGAAAATATATTGAATTAGTGCTTGACGATGGTAGTTCATGTTTTGAACAGCTAGAAGGATGTAATTTTTGCGAAGGTTGGAGATAGCAAGGCTAGCATCCATGAATAACTAAATCGAAACTAAAGGATTGAGCTGAGGGGAGAAGATCTCCTTTACCGTCCTCATTTTCTCTCGACCACCTGCGGATCCTGCCGCGAATATTTCGTGAAGTAACTTTATAGGGTCAACAGAAGGCTGTGTAAACATGATTTTTCTCCCACTTTTAGCTTTTAAATTATATCAGTGAATTTGTTAGCACTGAAATGTATGATAAACACTTGGATTGCAATAAAAAAGAATCACAAAAAGAGCAATGTTTTAAATTATTTCGACGCACGAAAGAAAATCTTCTCTGCTTACCTCCACTGAATACTCCTGGTTATTGTAGATAGCGCTATATTGTCATCTGCACATCCCAGGGAAAACACTACAGCCTTGCAGACTTGGATTTCCAAGTACCACTGACGCAACGGGCTGCTGCGTTGGAAGAGTTGGGAACGAACTTGTCGACGTCGCCAAAAAACTTTAGAACAACAACTCGAGATCACTGACGTAAGAGTAACGCAAGTAGGATGTCATGTTTAACGAAACGGAAGTGGTTGACACTTTGCAGTAATTATTATAAAACCTATCACCTTTTGGTTACAAATCTATCACCACGATCTCTTGTTGCTATCGTTGTTGCTGGATGGGTGAAAGAATAGGTGAATGAGAGTGGTAAGTGGTTTGGACAATGAAATTAAATGGATGGGTAAGAAATGATTCCCGGGACAAATGAATGTATAAGAGAATGGATGGAAGGATATGGATGGATTGATAAACGGACAAATTGTAGGACACGTAAACAGAAACAAACAGTTTTGGAGTTGGGAGGGGGGAAACCACACCAGCTTTGTAAAGGTTGACCTCATAACCCTGACCCTATACGAGGTAACTAAACATCATCTTGGTGAGTTTTTGTTGTACGACCATTGAGCAACGCTAAAGTGTGGTGTTTTATGAAACGCTGTTTCTAATTCTGGATCCCAATTTACCTTGACCTTGGCAAAACCTAATTCGAGGTGTTATGCAAATCAATAATAAATCCAGTTATCAAGTGTGTGCGTGGAAATCTGTCTGCTTTGAAAATCCTGCCAAAGTAAAAAGCCCCAGATGCAAACGAAGAATCCTAAATGCACTTTCTACCTCGCTGTCTTCATTAAGACAGATTCACTAATTTTGGTACTATTCAATTTATACACAAAGTAAATTCTGCTTTAGATTAGAAGGACATCAGATTTCAAGGTCAAGGTGGTTCAAGGTGCACAATAGAGGAGGGTAGCTCCCTTCCCCTCCCCCACTCAAAAAGGACAGAATTCAAGCCGTTCTTWCCCACGCGATGTACAATAAAGATCAAATTATGAACACAAAGAAGAGGCACTACAAACCAATATGTAGCTTTGTAATCACAACAAAACGAACAGATTTGTGTCAATCAAATGAATATATCCATTATATCACCACTCTATTTATTGGAGTCTTGATTGCAGCTTCGCTTTCATGTGTTTTAATAAAAATCCTTATAATTCGTTTTTGTGCTTTCTTTGCAGCAATAACATTTTGTTGCTCTATTTTCTGCGTAACACTTTCGTCGACCCAAAAACCATCCAAATCCAAATACAAGGAATCACGCGATAATCAATCACTCGGCACTCCACAGGACGTCCAATCTCTATGGCAGATTCGATATATAAGGCGTGCTCTGATTGGCTGACGACCGTGTCTATATCAGAGGACAGAGACACGGCTTACCGGCAAAATTTGCTTTTCGCTCGAAAAATTTTATAAAAGAAATATAAAACGGCCGCTTGTGTCTCTGTCCTCTGAAAAACACTCGAGAAGCAAGAGAAACACTCGCTACGCTCGTGTTCAAAGCTTGCATGCTTCTCTCGTGTTTTTCGAACTCCCACCGTGTTTATATTACCCTGGGAACCAGAGGCTGGATTTACTCGTTCTTGTAGTTTATATACGTCCTTGAGGCCGAAGGCCGAATCGTAAACCAGAGGACAGAGACACGCGCGTCGTTTTATATTTCTAAAATAATCACTGAACACAGGAACATTACAAAAGCATTTTACCAAAACATTTGGAAAATGGTCATTTCTTAATTAGATTTTTCAATTCAGAAATGTTTTAATCTGCGCCAGTGAAAAGCGATCTGAACAGCGGGACACCACACAGGAACATTACAAAAGCATTTTACCAAAACATTTGGAAAATGGTCATTTCTTAATTAGATTTTTCAATTCAGAAATGTTTTAATCTGCGCCAGTGAAAAGCGATCTGAACAGCGGGACACCTATCGGGTACCCTGGTTCCAGTGTCGATTCCAGTGGGTTTCTCTTCTTTGTATCGATGTTGTTTTAGTATTTATCGTATTTTTGTCTTTTATATTTAAATTTAACGACGCATTTAAAATCAAAGACAAAAGTACGATAAATACTAAAAAACATCTATCAAAGAAGAGAAACCCTCTGGAACCAGGGTATCTATCGGGACTAAGCCGCTCTTTGTAGTCAACCGCATTACATCGTAGTTTTTACTCCAAACAAACGCGACCAGGTCTTGTAGTATTTCAATAAATGTGCTCGCAGCATGACCTAGGTAGCTGATAGATTGATCCAAGCGAATCCAGGCGATTGTATCTGCTTGTTTATGCCGCTTTTAACGGCGTAAGTATGTCGTGATGTTAGATATAAGTAGAGCGGATTTCGTATGAGTGGGACACCGTTACCACACGGTTACCGCACAGTTATCGGACCTGGCCTGCAAAATTTTGGTGAACCAATGGGGCACTAGAATTTGGTTACAGTACGATTACGGTCACAGTACAGTACCGTCCGTTTCCTACTCATACGAAATCCGCTCTATAAGCGGTATGTAATATTCAAGACCGTCTGTCACGCAAGCTGCAACGTGTGAAATTTGACGTTGCACTTTTTGCGTTGAATAAATCGTTTTGTGTATTTGTTTTGGAATTGTAACCAGCTTGTATTGTGTAGAACAGGCCATTTTTATCGGATTTATTCACAATCTCGATAGTCTTGATGGCCGTTTTCTATCCGATTTTGCTCTGATGGAGGAAGACGTGACCTAAAGCACGTGACCTAAAGCACACACGTCAATGTGTCAAGTAGAAACACATGAACACCTGGAGAAATTTGGAAGATCTTTCAGAACTTAAAAGAAACGCATTTTTAACATTTTGAGTATTCTCTGTGTATTATTATTATTATGAACGACGAGAAACCAAAGTATTTCACTCTGTTGCATTGGGCTTCCTGTGGTTTACACACCACAGCAACGGAAGTGTTTGCTAACTTCCGGTCACTTTAGGATTTGGACTTCCTGTGGTGTCCAGACAATATTGCTCGCTATGACGTCAACGATAAATCCTTTGAAGTGGTATCGATTACATAACTTCACACTGGAAACTTCTGGACCAGGAAATTTTGCAAGAGCAGGGATTCGAGTGGATTCAAGTTTCGAGATACAATTCAGAAGTTTGGCATGCTCAAAACCATGGCAGTTTTYCCTGGAACACAGGACAATCAAGTCATAACAACTCATAGTAATTACTTTTGATGGGTTTTAAAATGGCCCCTTTAACTTTATCACATTCATATTTCATATGCAATGATCAAATCAAAGACACCAACTTAATTTGATAGTTTTTATTTACAATAAAAGTTTTCTCTTTCTTTATATACACAAAATATTCCTATATTTACAAACCCTATAAACATTAACTTTACAAATATTCTTATTTTTATATTAATGGTTTTAGTCTGACACACTTCAGTTTCAGGATAAACAACGAACACAAGAGCACCAGAAAAGAACTCAGTTTTTTTTTTCTTGAATTTTTCTTATGTTAGCTAATTTATAAATGAACCAACGGTAGAACTTGGGTGAGTGATATATCTATGAAGTCTTTATAATGTGAGTGCATTAATACTAGCTGCTAAAACACAGCCAGTAAGTCTTTGAGAAGCGGCTACAAGACACAAGGTCCAGGRGTTTCCATACTGTAATCAATTGCATATAAATTTGTCCAGGAACACCGTCTTGGCAAGCACCCTGACATGTAATCTGACCCTTCCAGCAGGCTATGCAAGACCATGGCAACTTTACGACTGTGTACTGATCCACCTATTAATATACAGTTTATTCCATATGGCCGCCACACATAGTTACCACCACTGAAATGTTTCTTTACTGTTGCTARGGAGGCTGGTGTTTCAAATGTTGGTCTGTCTGTCACTAACAAGATTGCATCTGCTTCACACACTTTTCTTTCAAGCAGTCGCAGTGGATCTTCATAAACTCCTTGAATTGCTGTGCTTGGTTCTTCATAGATAAGAATTGGAATACTGACATCAGAACATTCTGTTGAAAACAAAAACAAAAATGTTTAAGTAAAAAGCTTAGTAGAAGCTTTGATGCATAGCTAAGCTGTTTTTCTGTGATGAAGTCACTGAGATTTAGAAATCCAGCCCTTTGTTTGAGCAACAAAAGACTTGGACGTCAGATTTCATCTCGAAATCTCTCATCAAGGTTTAGAACAATGAAAAGCCATATATATAACACAAACATAAGCCTTGACAATTTGAAATTCAAATGACTTTTTCTGTTTTTAACAATCTAATCACTCATTTGATAATAATACTCTCAAATTGGAAGACGATTGAAAATAGATTTCAGCAATTTCACATTCTGAGCCAGCGAATTTTACAGATAAACAATTGAAAGTGAAAGTGAGCTATTTAAAGTCGGCTCATAATCACTTTGGAATTATGCCAAGTAAGGGGCTTACCGGGGAATAGAAATTGTAACTGGTGTGTTTTTAAATTTAGCAAAAACTGATGGAGAGAATCCCATTTTTTAGCAAACGAATGCGTTTCTAACTTACCAAAAAGTGAAATATGATGTCCTTGGTCACAAAGTTGCTTCAGTACGTATTGTGCTTGGTTTAGTCCATGGTTCGTTGCAATAAAGTCSGCAAACAGAACAATCTTCATATTTTCACGTTTAAAAGTAGTAAATAGTTCAAAACCTGTGAGAATAAAAAGGAAAATGAATTAAAAATCCATTCAAATGCCAGTAAGCTAGCAGAAAAGTTGCATCATATAACATCTCCCCACGTCAACAAACATTAGCAATTCTAAAAATCACATGATGCGAGTAACTCTTAGCAACATTTAAAAAAATCCCCTCGAATAAAAAAAAACTGCTGAGTTTCTAAAACGGCTTTCGATATTTTCGGCAGACTTGGCAAAGAGCGTCAGTTTCGAAATTTTTAGAACTGCTCGGATTTCAAGAGGTCCAAAACAAGACATTAATAATTCAGTATTTATGCGTTTCACACTTTTGGCCGAGGCATAAATATCGGTCAATCTAGCCGGTAAACAAGCTGAGTTGAAACCCGGGTTGAAACTCTAGCTGTTTCGTATAAGGAAGAAAACTACAGGCTGCATTCACTGAAACCTTCGCTTCAAAAGTCAGAACATTCTATGATTTTAAAGCGATGTTGCAACTGTGATGAAGAAAGCTGACATTACAATTTCTGCTGAAAAAATACATWAAAAAAAYCTCTTTATATCTGAAAAGATCCAAAGTAAATTGAAAAGTATTCCTGCAACGAAAGCACTTCATTTGTCAACAATACATGCAGTTCGAGCCATTATGGCCGGTCAAGGTGTCATGTTTCCCGTACGTGCTTGGCCTTTGGGAGCGAAATTCTGCAGCGTCCTTGCACAAATGAGTTGAAAATGTTTAGCATTTAGCTTCGGGTTATCATTTAATGCGAACTAAGCACAAAAAAACACACGACGGCGAGTTTCTCTAGAACAATAATTTCCGTTGATGCGAACGATCGACCCTTTAAGAACCCGATTGATCGGCTAGCTCTTCGAAAKCGGTTCAATTCTGCAGGTAAAACGAATCGAATCATTTAATTTAGTTCGTATTCAAAGCTAAATATAAAAGAAAAGTGAGTTCAATTGAAGAGAAAGAGTYGAAAGCGACGAACTGATGTCAAAAACAATGGAGCGAAAAAAWTTTTTTGCTCTGCGAAGAAACTTGAAATCCAAGCGATTTTTGCTTTAAATACTACTCAAATGTGATGTATATAACTTACCAAGATAAAGAACGGYCTTTTCCTCTCTTTGACCAGCAAAGCAAGATTTTATAAGGAATTTGCAGCGACTTTTCTTTGATRACWATCACCTTCCTCGTTCAGGGAAAAGCTCGCAACAGATGTGATCTGACAGTGAAGTGGCTTTTATGCGTACTATGACGTCAACTGTCAATCACCTAGAAGGAATCTGATTGGTGAACCGAAATAAACATTGTCACAACACATCACGTACAAACAAAAGATTTGATGATTTTGGGATAAAACGATCTAAAGTCATCCAAATTATATCCCCTATTGTTCTTAGATTCTGCTTGAAATCCTTTATTTCAAAAGGTTGGGTGTCCCACAGGAGTTTTTCTGCGTGTCTTTTGTTTGCTCGAAACACAAAAGCTTCGCAWTTCTCGTCCTGGATATTGATGCAAATTATTTTGACCTGGTTTGACCTGGTTTCAAGCATTTGATTACCAAAAAGACTGACTCTTGTCTATTTTATTTTAATTCAAGAATTTGCACTTTTACCAAATTCAAGGCAAAGACAAATCCACATGAATGATTTTTCCAAATCTTTCACTGTAAACGAACCGAATCGAAGGGTTGAACGTGTTGCTCCCGTGGGGGAGTGTATGAGGTCTGTTTGTGTTTTTTCTTCAGAATATCAACAGAATTTGGGAAAAATATCAAAAAATAAAGGGTTATCTTTGCGTTTTATAGTAAAGCAGATCTGTAGGTATTCTATTCCATTAAAACTGTGTCTAAATCCTTGAATGTCGTAAAACGCGATTACTCAACGTCACGCCACGGTCACAAGGTCACACAATTGCACGTATTCATTGTATTCGTATGACATACGGCACGGTCTAGATCCATCGCGACCTAAGTGGAAAATGCTTGCAAATAAATATCGTATTTTTGAATAAMTGGTTACAGTAAAATGTCCAGCTTTTAAACGAAGTGCAATTACAAGCGTGTTTTTGTCTAGTTGTTGTTTTGCTGGCGTGAACGCTAGGTTTTTTGGTGTTATGCCAGCGCTTTAAGTGTCGATGAGCTATTGTTGTGGTTTGCTGTGTTTCCTTGATTAACGAAATAAGWATAAAAACACTTCACTCACTTACTTCACGTTGAAATAATAGACCGTCATGTTATTCGTTTTTAAACAACTTATAAATTCCCCTACAATAAGTTCACGACGTAATCCTAACTCGACCGCCCCCCAAAACGGGCTTCTTTTGTCATCCACCCCKCCAGTTTGAGGTTAACGTTGATTGTGATCAAACAATGGCTATTCATCTTTTGTTTTTGTAACCTGCATGGGCTTGCCTGCTTGATGTCTCGCTGAACTTAAAAATAAAACTCTATTTGTAAGCCATTTTTCATACGAGGGCCATTATTTCTAATTTTCACAAACGATCATCGGATCAATAGCGATCATAATCGTTTGTCGTGATTGCTATTTATATTTTTTTGAAAAACACCTTATTGCTATTTATAGCCATAAGTTAGATACTTGTTTGTCAACGTAAGCGATTTTAGACAAGCTTAGTTTTTGTGATGAATTTCCGACAGATTGGCTCCACCCAAAAACAAAAGACCAGCGCGGCGTAGCCTTGTAGCTTGATCATTTTTTTAAGCGATATAGCTTGGCAAACTTTAGCGCGTCTGTTAGTTTATTAGTTTATTACGCTTTGATAACATGGGCAACAGCAACAAAAACAAACTTTATTTAAAAAAATTCCTATTCATAAAGAGCGTCTTGATACAGTTAATACATACTAGACCATACTAGGCCCTAGGCACTAGATATTTTTGTTTTTCATTGAACTCCTGCAGGGTCCTGTTAGTGTATAAGGTAGAGTTATAGAAATAAATTTATCAGGTGGGTGAAAAACGATATCTATACTAGCTTTACACTTTCTAATACATATATTCGACTTCATATCAGAAAAGAGACTAACAATAACTCATTGAAAGTGATCACTCCTCCGATTCTATTCCTGCCTTGTTTTCRATGATTTTCGCTTAGTTGCGGCTATTTTTACTGCCTTTAACTGTTTTTAACAAAGTTTTGCGTAAACAAGTTTTCTAATATTAAGTATCTTTTAGAAAGATTAATTTATCGCTTAAGGCAAGTGACTCGACCTAAAATAAAAAATAAGAACCCTCCGCCATCACGTATAAAAYAAATTGTTGAGACATCTGTTGTGTTAATTTTCAGTATCATTTTTTTTTATCACTGAGGAGACTGAACCCAAATCCCTCCCCTCCCACCCAATAATAATCATACCAATAAAGGCAGCTGCAAATAGCCTGAATATACTGTGAAACGCTTCCACATTGAACAAATAGAGGATATTACATGGACGCGCGGAGATACGAATTTTATCTTCGAGTGTTGAAAAGATCTCTCACGAGTGAGCGTAGCGAATTGTTTCGTAAAAATAGTTTTTTTTCTTACTTCCACTATATAGAGAAACCTCGAATGTGTTATTTTCGCTGTGAAAATAACATGTTATTTTCACTAGTGAAGATATCAAGTTTACGAAATGTAGAAATATAGGTATTTCATAGATAAATTATATGATAAAACGCTTTACGACCATCGCAATGATCACATGTAGATCAGATTACGTTCAGTAAAAAGACTAATAATTGCGTTTACCAACCCCGCGCCCAGCGGCAAATTACACCTTTTTGTATCAATGTTAATTGAGTTTTCAAAAACAAAGTACCCTGGTTCCTAGATAGTTTTTTTAAGAGTACTAACTCTAATTTTCTGTTTTTGCTGCTGTTKTTGGTGCGAATCCGTAAACCAGTCGACATCACATCCATCCGTAATTCGGCCTACTTCTTTCACTAAGTTTTGTTCCATAGTTAATTACCATTTATGATTCTTTTGAGTGTAAGTACTGAGATGGGACAGGAAATCAATAGTCGACGGCGGGTTGCCTGACAAGTCGCCTCATGACATTCAAAATCCCACGGCTATTGGTCCCATGTTCTTGCTTATAAATAGATCCTGAAAAACCGTCTATATTTAAGAAAATAACCTTGGCTCGCGTTGTTTCAGACGGTAACAAAAGAAGACTGAGGCGTCACACAGACGTCTTTTATTTCACAACTTTTATGGCTCAATAGAAAACTGCGGGACTGGTCACTTGCAGTGTCGATGATTGCGAAATTGGTTC